TGCCCTCTGCCACTCCGAGCATGAGCAGGATGACTTCAAGCTAGCCGCACCAATGCAGTGAAGATGAGAACCTCTTGGAGGATCATGCACACGCTGCTCACCCGATCCGTCGTCCAGAGCTCGCAGTCATGCCACTTGCTCACGAATAGAGGGCTGTTTACTCTCTTTTTGATTAGGCATCCAGCAGAGCCGATCCACCTGGGATCACTGATCGCCACCTCTTTCACCCGGTGTCTAGGACGAAATAGGGTGGACACCAGGCACATGGGCGGCATCATCACGAGGCTGGCCAGACACTTTCATGTGGATTTGGAGCGGTGCTCCATCGTTGGCCGGACAGAGCCTTCCTAGTGGTGACTCTCTACAACCAGAAGCTATTGCTTTAAGGAGAACGGGGGGTAGAGTACCTTGAGGGACTCCGACCCTCATGAGTCATGAGGCCGGTAGCTGACCCAACTCCAGTGGAGCCTGATGCAAAGGCACCACCACCAAAGCAGCCACCTGCTCGAGCTCCCGGCCGCCGACAGCGTCCCGCCCTCCAGCGCCCTGTACCACCACCAGCACCACCACCACCACCATCCGGTGTCGTTCCATCCACTTTTGGGGTACTCCTATTGGAGAGGATGGACTGTCTAGAGACCCACGTCGTGGGCGTCACTTGTCGGCTTGACCGGCAGACTGACCTACTCGAGCGGATCGCTCGTCTCCAGGGCCTCATTCTAGATGATGAGCTGGGGCCTTCGACCCATTGAGAGGCAGCCGACGAGTGATACATGTGTCAGAGCTGATTACTTTAGCCCCACTAATCCACTTGGAACTCTGAACACTGTTGTTTTATTTTGCTTTCTTTTATTTAATATGTGTGAACAACTACTACTATCGTATTGTTTTGTGTAATAACCTCGCCTCGAGCGAGTATGTGTTGTGTTTGTGTGTGTGTTTTTGTCTTCTCCTTGGAGCTAAACTCTCCTACCAAGCAAAAATTCCAACTTTCACTCACCAGGTCAAGCGGTAACATCGTTCTACCACTATCTTACGCCTTTGAGGGCAATGTCGAATTTAAGTGGGGGTGTAGTTTAATCTTATGCTTGCTTGTGTGTGTGTGTGTGTGTGTGTGTGTGTGTGTGTGTGTGTGTGTGTGTGTGTGTGTGTGTGTGTGTGTGTGTGTGTGTGTGTGTGTGTGTGTGTGTGTGTGTGTGTGTGTGTGTGTGTGTGTGTGTGTGTGTGTGTGTGTGTGTGGATTCAAGTGCATCCTATTATGATGGTGACCAAGTGCCCAAATTTCTTCGTGTCTCATCAAAATAGTCGGTTTGTGGGTGAATCTCGTGTTTATTTAGCATTGACCTTGAATTGTAGCATTTGATCAAGTGCATCCTATTATGATGACTGAGAGTTGCATTAGGTGTGTGCAAAAGCTTAGTTTTCATGTGTGCTTAAATAAATGGGTGTCTTGACTTGGTTACTCTTTGATTAGAATTTCCTTGCATAGAAGTTCGTGAAATTGGAATAGATGATAGGGTGACTAGGTAGCCACGTGAGATTTGTGTCGATCGTCTTGTTCATGTGTGATAGATCCCTCTTGCCATGGTTTGTAACATTTACCGTTGTCACTAGTGAGTATGATAGATCCCAAAAGTTGATTGTCCCAAAATATTTTATCCACTAGTCAACCCCTTTCAGCCGTGTGACTTTGGGGGTCGTTCTCATGTTAGGAGGAGCTTGTTGCTTGTGAGCTTAATGGTGATGATAGAACGACCTCTCATCCTTTCTTCGTGTCTAAACCATTGTGAGTCATCATTGTGTCTCAGAGCTCTCACTCTTGAGCTCCATTGAGGTTCTACATAGGTGGATTTTGCACGGTCCTTGCTAGAAATGAAGAAGAAGAAGTAGTGTTGGAGGAAGTTCTTAATAGAGAGCATTGTTCGTTAAGTGTTAAGTTGGCAAATGTTTAACTCTCTAGAACCCCCTCGAAAAAGAAAAAGAAAAAGAAATGGAAAGTAGGAAAAAAAAAGGAAACGAAAAAAGAGGTATTAAAATGGGGTAAATAAAAGTTGAGAGTTACCACAAAAGTCTAAATGTATGCTCTAAATAGGGTTTAATGTAGTTCGTGATTGGTAGGGGTTTGGAAGAAGGAAAGTGATGTTTTTGGTCGATGCTAGTGGCAGTTGATTGTAGGAAAGGTTCTAGTCGAAACCTTGGAACCTTTGGTTTTGGGTTGAAGATGTAGGACCTCATGCTATATTTGCCACCACCCAAAAGGAATTTTCCCCATGTCCAAGACAATTGGCAGTCATTTGAACCCGTGTCTAAGATCTCCGGACAAACGAGTGATGAAAACCATCCCGTGAACTCTAGCATTTAGAGGTTTCCGTCGTGGTGGAGAGACGATAAGGCTGAGTGTTGATGGTTGTGCACATATTTTGCACCAAAAGGTCCTGACCCCACTGGTTGAAAGGAATGATTCATTCACATATTGCATGATCATACTTGATCCCGATGAGGACCTATGTTGCACAGTCGTTTGTGCCTTGGACTTGAACTCTATGCACGACTAGTTGTGGTTGGTGAGTGGTCTTGTAGGGACTTGCATTGATTTATGAACAGGGTGAGAATTTTTCATTTGCAGACTCTTGATGCATTCAAATGTCGTTTCTGGCGGATGTCGGTTTTGCTTGGGGTGGTTCATGTGCTGATGCCCAATAGCCATTGAGATTCACCACTTTGTGCCTTTCGATTTTTTCCCAAGATATTTTGTTAGGGTTGAGATATCACCTTGGTTTAAAAGGGTTTGCCTAAGTGTTGGGGAGTGATTCGGGCTTAATTGTATACTTTAACCCCCCCCCCCCCCCCCCCCGGTTTCCTTAGTCGTTGAGGCATTTATACTCCTGGAGGTTTGGTTTTACGCTGGATTTTGTCTCGTTTTTTTGCATTTCAGTCTATAGAAGGTGGAACCAACCCCGGAGTCGAAAGTTGGATGAAAAGGCGCAAAATCAGGTTAAAAGATGGAGGCAGTAGCAGATCACGGTGGAAGCGGTGAGTTCACGATCAGGGAGACCATGAATTGGAGCCGAAAACCGTGAACCACTAGGCGTCCATAGTTATATTGGTTCTCACTAGACTCAAGTCAGTTCACGGTCGTAAGATCGTGAACCCAAGCCAATGACCGTGAATTGAGTTAGTGAAGCGGCGCATTTTGGCCCGAGATCACGGTCCATGCCTTGAGTTCACGGCCGTTAACTGGGTATAAAAGGAGGCTTGAGCTGAAGGAAAAAGGGGAGGAGACCTTGAGTGATAAAACCTTCTTCTTCAACATTCTAGAGAGACAAAGTGACGAGTAAGAGAGAACAAGCTAGGAAGGCAAGGATTTGGGAAAATCTTCCGCAAAGGAAGATCTCTTCTACACAAGGAAGGATTCAAGCATCTCCATGATGGTTTTTCTTCTTTCTCATTGTGTTTTTCCCTCTTCTAGCATGGAGTAGTTTCCCTTTTCACTTGAGGGTTTGTGAACCTAACTTCTACCATGTGATTGAGATTGTATGGAATGGTTGTCTATGTGTGGGTGTGTTTTAATACGAATTTGGAAGTATTTTCATGGAAAATTGTGTTGTATGTTTGCCTATCAATCTATTTGCCATTCTAACCTAGGTAGAGAAAAAAATCCCCTTTTGTTAAAGAGGCTTGTAAAACTAGGTTTTCTTAGGCAAATCATGTCTCCTATCTAGGTTAATGTAGGGCATCCCTCCTTGTTTGTGTTGGCACCTAGGTTAATTGTGTTTTGGCCGTCCGAAGCCCTATTTGAGAGTGAAGGTTTGGTAGTCCTTAGGCATTTAGGCCAAGAGAGCTACCGAGGTAACTTAATCCGAATTCCTTGGCCTAGAGACCGAGAGAGTGATGTTCCATCACTAGCTACCAAGTTTGTCAACCCGCGGGTTGACCCACTTTGACCCTGACCCGGAGAGAAAAAATGGAACGCACGCACCCACCGGGTCGACCGCTACAAGGTACCGGGTTGGAGGTCAAATTGTGTCATTTTTTTCTTTGGTTTGCGAAATGCGCCTGTTTTCCGATTTTTCTTTTCGTCTAACTCAATCTTTGGAATTCTAAGTTAACCATTTGAATATTGATGTTATATAAGTGTGTGTGAATTTTCACTATATGTTGGATCTAAGTACGACATGTTATTTTGGTGTAATATTATATGTTATTACTCATATGTTAGATGAGAATTGATATAATTTATCAGGATAAGTACAATATAATGACTCTTTTCGATATTTCCGGGCCAAACCGGGCTAACACGGTTGACCCATTAACCCTTGACCCACTAGCTTGACCTGGTCCGGGTCAGCCCGCGTGTTGACAACCTTGCTAGCTACACTTCCCTTACGGTTCTCAATCACCTCCACCATACATTTTGAGTCATCCCGACAAGTCATGGTAGCGAATTAGGGGGAGCTACACCCGGGTGAATCCCTCTCATTTAAGAGTCAAAACCAATTACTTTTACAACCGCTTTAATGTTAGATCATAGTTTTCAATCAAACAACCAATCATTAAATTATGTTTCAAATAATCGAAGTATGGGTATATGAACTAACTCGATTTGATATTTAAACATACTTGTCATATATTACATCCCATTAAAGTTTATATTTGGTCTATAATTGGGAGTTGTTTTTTATATTCGGACAAATCAATCACCCCAGTCAGATCACTCCTTTAGTAAGCTTACTAATAACTTCTAACCTGTTCAGAACCCATCTGCAATAAGCTCACTAAAAGGTAAATCCTACCGATTGAAAGATTCTCATCAGTGCCATTATAAGAAAACAATTCTCATTAGTGACCTTGATTAAAAAAATATTTCTGTTAGTGATAAACTGATAACGGAGAACATCGAACCTTTTGAAGCATAATAGTCTTGAGAGGGAACCACACAGGTTAACACAGGTTAACTAGGAAAGATGATAAAAATTGTATGGAAGGTTGTACCAAAAAGTCAATAATAGGATATTTTATACTGGAATTGTTTCCAACTGCTAAAATTGCCTATTGATTTAGACTCCAGTGGACAATTTATCCAATCTAACTTACAGTACAATTCGGTTTACCAAACACTACTAGTGATGAAGAAATGAAAAGCTGAGATTGCAACCAAAATAACTTAATTTGGCATACAGAAATATACAGCATTTCTTGTTGGTAATCTGTTCATATCAGATGCCAAGCAACAACAACCCAAAAGCAAAGAGACATATCGCTAAATGAAGCGCAACTGAGCAGCTAGGCACAAGTTGACGGACTTCTATCTTTGTGTTTAACTGGCATCTGCCGGCGGAGTTGTGGCCGCAGCTTCCCCAGAAGGTAATGACTTGGGCTGGAGGAGAGTGATGTATACATTATCATGAACGCCTTGCAGAAGCAGCTCCCCTTCATACGTAACTACTTTGCGCTTCTTGGCTGCTCTTAGTGTTCCCACCAATGCTTCAAAGATATTGGCGCACCTGTCATCGCTGAACAGCACACCAAATGTCACCTGCAACAAATGTACTCCATTTTCAGATCGCAACACATCACATTCTTCATTAACATCACTCTTGACATCACAGGTCAATTGGCATCCTGAATTTTCTTTTGTTGCGAACAACGGAACCCTACTTTCGAATACAGTAGGCTAGGATAACGGAACGCAAATACAGCCAGCTAGAATCATCGTTCGGCCCTCGACTCCCTGAACGGAACCATGAATAATCTCTGCTTTGACTTCTAGATCTACTTTCTAGTTTCAATAACGAACACAGACGAGAAACATGTGGAAATGATGTCAGATCTAGAACAGAAAAAGCAGAGTTCCCAATCCCCCGCATATCAGAATCAAAATCAGATCTAGATCCACATCGTAGGATCTAGAGTTAGTTATCGTTGTCACTGACGCTTCCAATTGATGAGATGATCGAGAGATTATTGATCATGTGAGTACCTTGAAAGAACCATCAGGCTGGGAGCTACCGAGCCTCTGGATCTCTTCTTTCAGTCGCTCGACGTCTTCTTCCACATTCATGGCTGCCGTCGTCTCCCCTTTCCTTTTCTTTCTTGCTCCGCTGATCCGAGTTTGCAGGCTCGCTCTAAACTGCGAAGTGCTTTATGCTTGCTTTCACGGTACTCTCTAGTCTCTAATAATGCGAACCCGGCAAGGTTGTCAAACCGGTTTATACTGTTGTGCCGGTTTGGCAAGTAAAATGGTACAATCGGTGGTATAACCAGTTTGTGCCGGTTCATGCCGGTTTAAAAAAATATGAAAACAATTAATATTCAATGTATTTAATCATATATAAAACATATTTGTCGACAATTTAGTTACAATCCAACAAATATCATCATCTTTTAATTATTATATTCATAAAATGAATACTAAATTAATTTTTTATTCATTAAATTCATTAAAATGATGTTATTAAACTTAGAATGCGTAAGTCGATCATATCGGTCATACCAATGGTGTCATGCCGGTTCCATGACCGGCACAGGTTGAACCAGGTTCAACCGGGTGGCATGCCACCGGCATGACAACTATGCGGCAAAGTAATCTATCCAGGTTATCAATCCGCGGGTCAACCGATTTTAATCCTGGCCCGGTGAAAAAAAGGTTGCAAGTATCTGTCAGGTCGACCGCTACAAGGTACCGGGTTGGAGGTTAGATTGTATTATTATTTTTCTTTGGTTTGCGAAATGCGCATATTTTTATATTTTTATTTTCGCTTAACTCAATTTTTGGAATTCTAAGTTCGACATTTGAATATTGATGTTATATAAGTGTGTATGAATTTTCACTAATATGTTGGATCTAAGTACGACATGTTATTTTGGTATAATATTATATGTTATTACTCATATGTTAGATGAGATTTGATATAATTTATCAAGATAAGTACAATATAATGACTCTTTCCATGTTTCCGGGGTAAAACGGGTGACCCATTAACATGGATTAGGAAACCGTACTGGACATCAAACCGGAATCGTCTTTGGCATGGTAAATCGTGGTAGGACCATGGTTCAACCATTTCCTACCGCTAAATACCGTTTTCAAAATGAAAAATTATTTTTTTGTTAAAAAACCGTACCGGAAAAATTAGGGTATCATACCAGAATAAAACCAAAATACACCACCTAAGAAACTGGAAAAGAGTAAATAAGCTTAGGTAACATTCAACAAAGTGCGACATTTCAATAATGCTTTGTTAATTTCACCCCAACAGAAAGCTACAGAACGCAATATTACCCTTCATCTTCATCCAAAGCATCAATTGAGTTCTGTTTACCCCAACAGAAAACATTGCAGGACGCCGATTTGGCAACCATAGAGCTTTCTCTCGAGATATTAAAGCTACTATTAAGTACTAACCCATGAATCAACCTATTTCAATGTTTTCGTTTGATTTTGTACAAAGCACAAAAGAAGCAACGACAAAGGGAGAAGGAGAAAACAAGCACTACCTCTAATCTCAATGTGTAGAAGGTATCGTTTGGGTCGGTGGTACGCAAACGACGAAGGAAGCTCCTCTTTCTCCGGCGCGGCCAGGAAAGACGAAGGAAGAACAACGATGTCTTTGGCTGCTAGGGAGGACGAATCGTCGGTGCTGTTTGGTTGTTGGAGAGGACGATTCGGCGATGATCTTTGGTCTCTTATCGTTGAGAAATGAGAGGAGTACAGAGACTCAGAGAGGCAGAGCGGCGCCAAGGGGGAGAAGAAAACGAGAGTGCCTGAAACACCCTAACCCGGCCGGGTACTACTTTTACTAAAATGCCCTTGATAAATAAAATACTCAAATTTTAAATTGCAGTGGAAAAAATTTTCATAAATAAAATACTTAAAACACACACTTGTAGTTCAAAGCAAAGCCCTAACACGTGGGCAAATTAAACTCAAACTTTAAAATTTCAATCTGATCTCAAGTCTATACTCATAATCATAAAATGCAAATAACTAGGTAGTCTTTGTCGTTGCTGCTACTGAAAATCTTAAGGCATCCTCTGTGACGCTTGCACTGCCCTCCTCTAGCTGGCTGCCCTCGAACTTTTCCTCTCAAACTCGCTACTCTCTAACTGCTGCTCTAGCTAGCTGCTACCGATCTGGTTCTCGCTCATTCCCTTACTAAGGCCTGGTGAGTGAGTTTGGGTCAGTCTATGCCCTTACGTTTTAAACTTTCTAATTATTTTGCACTTCTTCTCAAACACTTAAACTCAAACTGAGGGAAGTTGTTTGTACTTCCATTCTTAAAAATCTTAACTCTTAAAACTGTATGGGAGTAACTGTTACTCTCCATTCTTAAAGGTTAAATCTCAACTTAAATACTTGACTGACACGGGGATCCCTCACTAGATAGTCTGGTTGCCAACTCATACAGATGACTCGATATTTGCACATGTTTTCCCCTTTGTTTCTTGATCGTTTAAGCTTGCATTATCGCTTCTTTGGCCTATTTTACGCTAGGTTGTGTTCATTTGTCACATTTCAGGCCCTAGCACATAAAGTGAAGCGTAGGCGCAAGTTTCAAGTCAATCGGAGATCAATTGGCGATTAGGGAGAAGAAACACGAGCATGACCTGAAGAAGAATGAATTTCTACCTCACTTTATGGAAAAAGAATCATGAAAGTTTGTTATGAAAAGAAAGAGGACGAGACTACGAGCGTCTGGGTTCAAACGGCGACTGATTCGGAGTCCGGACGAGGGAGAAACGAAGCTTTGAACAGGGCTGGAGGAAGAATTACGGGCAGGAGAATTACGACCGTAATTTCCCCTCCCATGCCCGTAATTTCACTGCCGAGAGGAGCTTTGGGTGAGCTGAAACTTAACCAAAACGCGTATTTTGGGCAAAATACGGGCATGGAAGAATTACGACCGTAATTCAGCCCGTAATTCGCCCAGAATCGGGTTTTTGAGGCATATTAGAGCCAAAGGAAAGGGAGAGCTGGGGTTTTGGTTCCCAAACACCCAAGGGACGAACCCTAGAGAGAGAGAGCGACTTGGGAACATTCTTGGAGCTATTTTGGAGGATTTCTTCGCCATTGGAGCTCGGGAATCAAGCTTGGAGATGGAGATTGAAGATCTAGATCAGATTTCTGCAGTCTCTCTCTTCTCTATGGAGTAACTTCCCTTCACTTAGGTTTTGAGGAACCCTAGTTCCATGAGTTAGGATCTTTCTTGTATGAAGTTTTGGATGCTATATTGTTTGATTATAATCGAATGATGCATGTTTATTGAGTCAATTGAAGTCTGATCAACTTTTCCTGATTTCTGCTGCAACCTGAGATAGATAGAATCTGATTAGGTTGCTAGAGTCTCATCATTCGGTAGTAGGAGATTGGCTATACGAGAGTTAGCCAGTTTACTGCTTTGTACTGGAATCCAATTCCAGTAGTGGAGTTTTTGTGCTTATTGCTTCAGCTTTCTATCCCGGTGAAGACTAGTCGTCTGCCGGATAGTTAGACTGAGAGGGCTTGGTCAGCTTAAGAGATTCCAAGCTACTGTCAGATCTTCCGCAGTTTAATCAACAGTAAAACAACCAAAAGGAATTACAACTTGGACCTAATTGAGGAGCTAGGGGGAATCATACCTAAGTGAGTTCACAACTTGTAATTAGTAGAGTAGTTAGTAGAGTAGTTTATAAATCAATCCTTAATCTAGTTTGCTAGATAATGAACCGAAGCTGAGTAATAGTAACTCTAGAGACCCGTGGATTCGATATTTATTACTTGTGCCACTATACTGCAGTCCCTTTCATTGGTTACACTTGGCCATTGTTAGGTGTTGTGTTTTAGAGCATCACATACGTATGAGAAGCCATCAAGGCTTTCCTTAAACTTAAACTTATCGTGGAAAGCTCTTCTTCCACGATTCTCAAGAGCATAACTGTTGCTCATCTTATAAATCTCAAGAGCATAATTGCTGCTTAACTTAAATATCTCAAGAGCATAACTGTTGCTCTGTCTCAAAGATCTCAAGAGCATAACTGCTGCTCTATCTGAAAATCTCAAATGGCAACGGACTGGCGCTAGTGACTAAAAACACTTAAAACGGTTTCACCTTCTTCGAAGGTGAAGTATTTCATAAAAGGGATTGTTCTTAAGCTTTAATAATCACTCATAAACGTAAATTTCAAAGTAAGAGATAAACTCATACATCTTCACTTCAAATCATAGCTCAACCAAAGCACATACTATCAAACATAATCATGCAATCTTAAACATGTATCAAACACTACACATACATCACGTAAATCAATAGTTCAAAATACTCAAGACAAATATTTGAAAAACCGTAAGGCGTAGAATTTATCCTCTTTACACTCACCTTACTTTCGTCGGAACTAGCTCTGATTTTGCTCCAAAGTTTCCATAATCGCTTCCAATATAATAGTACACTCGTACTTGCTTGAATAAAATGGAGCAGCTTGCTTGGCAAATGGAATTAAATGGACCAACTTGCTTTAATCATTATTGGCATCCAAGTCAGAGTGGATATGGCAATAACAGCAAGACGAGCTTGCTTAAGCAAGCAGCTCAGATCTCGTAGTAGAGGGAGGGAAAAGAAGCCCGCCGTCAATGCTCCTTAGATCTCGTAGTAGAGGGGGAAAAAAGAAGCCTGCCGTCAATGCTCCTCACTCCCTCAGTCCTCCATCGTCATGCTTCCCCTCATCGTCCACGGCGAAGATAGCAATAACCATGAGACGAGCTTGCTAAAGCAAGCAGCTCTCGGAGTGGAGAGAATGATGTTGCTCTGCCTCCACCTTGCCTTGATTACCCGATAGCGAGACCTCCACCGCCACCTCCTGCCTGCTTCTCCCCCTCGTCCAACTATGGGCGGAGATAGCAATAACAAGGAGATTCCCCTGTCGATAGTGATAGCAGGGAACAGACACGAGCTCTGTCTCCCTTTGGACGATGGTGTCGCTTTGCCTTGATTTCCCGGGTCCGGAAAGCAAGTTACTTTTGGTCGAGAAGTACTTGACCCAAGGGTATAAAAGTCATTTTGATTTTTTAGTCCTCATTGATATTACGGTGGTACTTGACCCAAGGGTATAAAAGTCATTTTGATTTTTTGGGAAGAGCGGGGTGTAACATTTCCTACACCCTTATAAAAATTTTGTCCCCAAAATTTGATCGGGCTCATCCTTCCAT